ATGAGACAATTTTTTTCTCGGGGCCCAGAAAAAGGCAGTGTATAACCTTCTTTTTTTACCAAAAATCGACTGCACCAAATTTCTCGGGAAACACTTTTTCTTATTAATTTTGGTCGTAGAATCCAAAACAATTCGTACTTTTTCGATCAGACTTCTAATCAAAGTTATAGACTAGGTAGAAACCAATTTCGAAAGAAAAATTCAAAGGGCTGTAACTTTTGAACTAGTAGCCCAATCTTGAACTGGTTTGAAATTATGGATTCTATAGGCCACATTCTATACAAGAAAATTTTTTTCCGGGTTCGATCTGAGACAATTTTTTTTTCGGGGCTAGAAAAGGCAGTGTATAACCTTCCTTTTTTATCCAAAAATCGACTTGCACCAAAATTTCTCGGGAAAATACTTTTTCTTATTAATTTTGGTGCGTAGAATCCAAAACAATTCGTACTTTTTCGATCACACTTCTCAATCAAAAGACTGGTTTCAACAGAATGGAGCATGGTCCATGAAGAGAAAGAAGCATTCAATAATAATTTTTTTTGTTATATGGTGAGTCACAATTTCAAAATGCCTTTATGCGTATACTGGATATCAGTTGATGACTTAGACAACCCATCGTACTGATTTCAATGCAAAATTCTGAACAGCTAATTACTTTAAAGCAATAACTGTAATAGTTTTAATTTACAGAAAATTGTTGTCCACCAATCAAAGGTGTGAGTTTTCAATTTTATTCCAGTCCAAGAGCAAAAATGGAAAATTAAGAGAATACTAATATTGCACAAAATAATTTGGGGAACCAATTAATTGTTCATAAAGTTTTTGCATTGGAATCCTTTTGAGGCACTGTGTAAGTTGTCAGCTGGTACCTATACACACATCCCGTTAAAACTGTTTTTGATATAGTTCTTATTTTTTAGCATACTCTACAACTGGTTTGTACAGCCATGAGGAAAAATCAATGGACGAGCTCCAAAATAAATCTTTTATCAGTAAGTTTCACCTTTGATTGTCTACATATATTTAATTGTTTAAATCTGTTCAAATGCCATGTAGTTTTGTTGTCTGTATGTCTAGCTAAAAACCACATTCATTTGAAATATACACCTACACTAATAATGCGAATATTTACTTCAGTACAGGAAGTGTTCTAGGAAAAACTTAGTATTCAGGGTAATTAAAATGGAGGTTATTTTAAGACTAACACGTTTAAAACAATTGCTCTTTATAGATACTGCACTTTTAAATTGTAAAAGCATAATACAGAATATTGTTTAGAAGCGTTTTGGTCTTATAATAAACCATCTTTTTAATTTCGCACAATATTATGGGTTCCTCCTAGGACATTCTACTCTTGAGGAAGAGGTTGAAGATGTTGTTTTGCAACTAAATAAAAATAAATTACCAGGTTTCTGGTCTCTGGTTATGGGGAGTCGTTCTATACATCAATAGATTTGCAAGTTTATCACCTACCAAAAAAAATTTGTAACGATATTTTTCGCCAAGCTTATAGTTCTTGGTAAATAAATCAGTAAATTCGACGTGTCCTTCAAGAAATTTCAATTAAATTTGGGGCACAAAAGATACGCCACTGGTGTGTACCACGTGGTACTATGTGGGCTCGCAATACGTCATTAGAAGGGGAATTTTATCAGCTTCAGTTTTCCGTTAAGTTCCAAAAAATCACCAAAATATTAAGGACAGAGGGTTTGGGGGGCCAAAAAAGGTGGTTGCGGAATGAGGACTTTCCACGACCGTTAATAGGTATATAACTATTTAGCCCTCAATTATGATGTGTACCAAAAATTAGCTTTATACTATTATTGTCTAGGTTTACCCAAAATTTGAACTCTTGACTCGGGAGTGTCCCGAATACCTCTCCCGATAGACCTTTCCCCTAGTATTTCTCCATTCCGACCTAAGAGATTTGTTAAAAGCCTGCTTATCCTAATGACTATGTCCTTGATTAATATTTTAAACTTGAAAAGGAAATGTTCTGTTAGTTACACAATAAAACTAAACTTTGGGCAAATATAATATTTCATTTCACGAACCCGATCATCAATTTTGTACAAAGGAATTAACAATAAGAGTAATAAATAGGTGTTAAGACTGGCAAATATGATTTCCAACAATTTGTGTATTGAAAAAGGCCGAAAATTGTCAAATTTATACGGAAATAAATCGAATTATTCTGTATCTAACGAACGTTTTAATTAGTAGTTGTCGTACTTTGGGTCTATGCATTGAATTAACGATATTCAATGGTGTAAGCCGTAAGGGTTACCATATTATGTGAGTAACAAGAAAATTACCTACCTCTGCTTCTTCTTCGTTTTGGGATAAAATCACAAACTGAATACGACACACACTATTACTTCTACAGCTGCATTTAAACTGATCATATTTAAACCTATTGCAACTTCGTCGCCGAAGATAACAGGTACAGCTGTCCACTTCTGACGTACTTACCTAGCGGGCTTATCTAATGTTCCAGACGACTTTTATACTGAACGTTCGCATTCTTTATCTTGGTCACGATGACGTCGAGAAAATAAAAACGTTTTATTAAATTAAATAGAGGAAATTGCAAATGGCGTGATTTTTATTTAAATCTTGCTGGTTTCCAAATTTGTGCATAGTCCAATAAAAAATGAGCTTCAATTTCAAGATCTGTTATTATACCTACAAATTAACATAATAATGAAAATTGTTGCAAAAAGCAATTCTTTCATTGATGTCGCTCAATTATTATTTTTCTGTAACGAAATTTTGAAGAGAAAATAACTCAAAAACCTTTAGTTTCGGTTAATCTTTGAGAGATCTTTTGATCCAGGAAGTTCTTTATGATATAACATGGCTAGAGCAATGAAAGGATCGCCTGGAGGTTTCAAGAAGGGCCACCGACCTACTAACGACTCAAGTTCTTTAAATGCTACGATTTCTTCAATTCTTCGACAGCCTAGTCATCATTAATAATGTTAATATCATCAATTTTTTATTCAATGCTTTAGGGTCCTTAACTCCAGACGATCCTAGATTTTTCAAACTTTCCCGAATGCGCCGAGTTCCTATGCTTCTTCTGAGTCTTCTTTTAAGTTTGTTGGAGCCTTTGTTGGTTCATTCCTTTCAACAGTCCAACATACACATTATACATGCTAAACTTAATAGAATTCGAGATATTAAAGAAAATATTAAAATAGTTTTACTCGAAATTAAAGCTTGATATGAAAACAACATTATTGAGTTATGTAACATTTTAATTTACAAATGTAATTGATAACACTATAAAAAAATTGTTAAAAATTTTCACCGTGTTCTCGTACACAAAAATTGAACCTTTTTAACAAATGTTGATTTACTGTATTATTAATTTTGTTATTTAACTCGTTCACAGTTTGTCTTATTCTATGTTTTAATTTTTCAAGTGTAGTAGTGTGCGTAACATAAACTTTGTTTTTGATGGCACCCCACCGAAAGAAATCTAAAGGCGATAGATAGGAAGACCTTGCATTTTGCAGGCGACATTATAGGTCCTCTTGTTCCAATCCAGACATTTGGAAATTCTTGATTTAAATAGTTTGTTACATCCAAGGCCGTAGCTAGAAAAAAAATTTGGGGGGGGGGGGTTAAAGAATATTTTATTATAATACTAAATTTAATCGCCTAGTTATCCGCTTATCGGCTTATCTACTCGACTCTAGGCTACGGGCAACGTCGATATTTCGGGTGGGGTTTGATCCCCTGTGATCCCCCCCCCCCTGGCTACGGCCTTGGTTACATCTATTGACTTGTGCGCAGGTGCACCATCTTGTTGAAATATAATTTCGCGCCGATCTGCTAACGGTATATCATCAAGATTCCTTAGTTCACTTTCATCAATCAAATACCTTTGGGAAGTTCTCATAAAAATATGGACTCAGAAGAATGTTATTAACAATTCCACGCCACACATTAGTTGAAAAACGTACTTGAAAATTAGAAATAAATGACTTTCATCTGTCCATAAAATTTTATTTAGAAAATGTGGATTTGTGCGATATTCCTGAATTAAATTATTGCAAAAGTGAACTCTTCTTGCAAAATCGCCAGGATGGAGACTATGGATTTTGTGTAAGTTTTTGTAAGCTTTTAATGCTTTTTTAAAACCTTGTTTTTACAACAAATACTAATCTAAGTTATCAATTCAATATACTTTTTCACAAAGTTACAATAATAAACTAATACAAATATTAAATTTTGTTTTCATAGCCAGCTTTAATTTGCAGTAAACTTATTTTAAGAAGGTATAACTTATGAAACTTTTTTAAAGCAAAAATTTTTTCCTACCAAATAGTATGAAAATATACAGGGTGTACTATTTAAAAAAAGACAAAAATATGTATATCTCCGAAAATTAAAATATTGTTTTTCTGATTTACATTAATTATTTAATTTATGTAGCTTACTAGAAAGACACTAACAATTTTCCGAAAAAATCGCGTTCCCTTGTTCCGTTTACACCCTGTAGAACTTTTGAGTCATTATAGACATTTAGAAATGTGACAGGTGCGGCCGGTAAAGTGACAGGTGGCAGGAAAAGTAATCTGACCTGCCGCTGTCATGGAAACTAAATTTTCCTCACATAATGTAGGCATGAAAATGAAGGTTTCATGGTTTCATGACGATTTTGGGTAAAAACTATTAGTCAAAAGCCGGAAACTGGCATACATGGGTACTATTATTCTTTAAAAAAAAATGAATTCGTTGAACGTCAGGCACAAATAACTCCTTCAAGACATAGTACTGTAAAACACCACAATGCGACCCTAAGGCCAGGTCAAGCAGACCATTGTCTGGAATATCAACATCCAGGCGTCCTCATCGCACGTAAACGGTAAGGGTGTAATTTTACACAGGAGCAGACCTGGAGTCGAACAGATATTTTTGTTCGAGGTGAAAAATTACCGGATTCTCACTAAGAATTGGTCTTAACTGTCCACACCTTACATCAAAAGTAATATATTAAATTGATTTTATTGCAAAACTACCAAATTACGTACAAGTAATGGCAGATAAATTACATGAACCTATAATATACACACATTCCTAAATAAAAAAAAAAAACATATTTTAATAAGAATACTTTACATAATTTTCCTCGTCAGTCATAATCAACTCTAATCTGAGGGTAACATAGCACAATTAAAGGGCGGCGTCAGCTCTAGAAGATACGAAAGAAAACTTAATGATTAACAATGAGTAGGTATATGGAAATGAGAATAAGTTTTGGCACAGTTCCAGTTTTGGTAACTTATTGATGATAAGATCACATACAGCACCACATTTCTGTTACAGTGGACTACATCGGCAAACGCAACACGATGGAAATAGGAACCAATCCATAAAGATGCCCTTGCAGTCGTTATCTGGATCGTACGCTAATAGTCGGTGCCATTTATACTTTTGCTCGCATCCACAGTCGTTCGTGCACCTCTTCGTTCTCACTTTTCTGCAAAACGACCAATTAGAAACGCAAATTTGCATACCTAACGGGGTAGCGACTTACGAACAAACCTCTTGATGGATGGCCTGTTCAAAGTGCTGGGTGTTGACGATTGCACGAATTTTTCCGGCAGAATTCGATGCCCAGTACGGGGTCACGATCTCGACCTTGCTCTCACAGGCATCCATTCTGCAACAAAATTAATGTTCGCCAAGCGCTCGAAGGGGGACCCAACTCACCTTCCATTCTCTGAACTTTGGTTATTTCTAAAATTTTGCCTAGTAGCTCGCGCTAGATTTTGGAAGTGGACACTGTCCCCGTCCTTAGCGGGATCGACTCCGGGGGTCGAATGCAAATCGGGCACGCCGGGTTTAGCAGACCTTTTCGCCTTTCTACCTCCACCGGGGCCGGGACCTTCGAATTCTGGACTTAGCGTGAAATCGCCGTACATGCGTCGCATTAGCGCTTTATTTTCGTCTATAAATAGCTCGATTCGTCCCCTGAAAAATGCAGCGGTCAGTACGGGGAAAGTTAGGATCCCGCATGTTTACAATGGATAGGAACTTCCGGCCGTCGGACAGAACAACTGCTCGTGTTTCTTTATGCATGGCACTCCTCGGATGTATTCTCCACGTAGTTCTAAACCTAAGGCCACCGATAATGCCGTCCAGAGAATCTGTAACAAGAATGGCAATAGTGAGAAGTGCCTGGTACAGAAATGAAATGGTTTCAAGGTCTTTTTACGCACGCAATAACAGCATGAAAGTGAAGAGCATCATCTACTCTAAATATTAACGTACAGCTTCCACTCCTTTTTACATTACGTACGTGCGCTATCTTGATCTATCATTCTCACGGTTTGAAATGCCCTTTGACGGAATAGATTGGGCCCGAAGACTGACCCTTGCGCAACCCCAGTCTAGTGACGTACTCGTGCACCAAATTGACAATATGTTTACGTTTTATTGTTAACGATCGAAACCTTGACACGCCCAAACCTATAGGTTCCGGGTAACGCTTCCGGTCACTACATGCTTTACATAATAATACGTAGGTGCCCCATTCGCTGCTATAATTAAACCTTTTTTTAGAGTTAACCTAATCAAATGGACATTAATAATGATAAATGGCAATTTCAAATACAGTAACTTAATTTCCATTTATACCGATTTGTTTTTTTTTGGATGCTATTGAAAAACTTTTCAGCTCGTTATAATCACAAAGTGTGGGAATTAGAGCAGGATGTTGGAACACGCGTTTGCAACGTAATACGCCGCAAACTAATTTGAATGAAGAAATGTTTTTTCTACCCCCCGCAGCGACAAGATCGTTCAAAAACCAAGATCTGGACCAGTTACACGTCGCTACAACTATAATCTACATCCCGGTAAAATCAATGTTATGAAATCAAAATCGAAAAATAAAGGAGAAGAGGACACTCCCAGTTCAATCAAATCCAGAAGATTGGTGGGCATGGAGAAAGTTATTCACCTACATATGACACATCAATCGCAATGTGCACCTATTTACTTTATTTGAAAGTCAATTATTTCATTAAATCAATTTATGCGAATATTCCGTTTGGCTGTTGTTCTTAGCCAGATTAAAATATAAAAGGTTTCTTAGTGTACAGCTTATACAACAAAAAGATCTTAATTATAGCAATTCTAACATTATTCAGGAGCAGATTTTTATACACATTTTAAAGATTTAAAACTGTAAGCCCTTTTTTTCAAAGGTTTTCAAAATGTTTATAAAACGATGAAAAATTGATTATTTAAAGAATCTCTTTCAGAGATTTTTCATCAACTTTTCTGGAGTACGTATCAGAAATTTTAAAGACCTTCAGGAAGATTTTTAAGTGGTACATATATGGAAATTATCTATAACAATTCAAGTAAGTTCAATGTTACCAGATTTAATAGGGCGTTCGAAAGTCTTTTTTATCCTTAGAGAATATTGGGCAACTATTTTTCCATCGGTCTAAAAACCAAAAATAATGACGGGACACCCTGTATATGAGAATATTTCAATTTATTAAGTAAATCTGAAGGTTTGTTTCGTTTGAATTTGTATTTCAGTGTTTGTTTTTCCTATAAAATTGTTTGTAGCGTAGTTTTCGTTTTAATTTTACCGCTTTTAAATTGTTTAATTTAGGTAAGTTCCGGAACCTAAGACACATCTGCTGAAGTTGACTCAGTCGGTACTGATATGTGTATTTCTCTTGAATTCTGTTGTTATGCCGTTTTTTTTTGGTCCAAAGAAGAGTTGTTCCTGGCGCCTGTTGTGTGCGTAATATATTTCTTTCGTTTTTGCCTTTTCTTACGCACAAAACTCAGTTTTATACAAACCTAGGCAGAGTAGAGGTCTGGAATACCTCATCAGACCTTTCCTCTGTCTGGATTTGTAACTATCACTTATGCGTGGAAATGTAATAAATAACTAAACATCTATTTTGATCCCGAATGAGCTGAACATATGCAAAAGTGACAGTTTTGAAGCCTAGGCAGAGTAAAGGTCTGATTTACCCCAATCACACCTTTACTCTGCCTTTTGGACCGAACTCGCCTGCGACTCGAATGAGCCGAACGTATGCAAAAGTGGAAATTGTGAAACCTAGGCAGAGTAAAAGTCTGACACCCCTTCAGACCTTTACTCTGCCTATGTTTTAAAACTATCACTTTTACGTGGGAAATGTAATAACACAGCTATTTTAATCTCGAATGGGCTGAACGTATGCAAAACTGACAGTTTTCAAACCTAGGCAGAATAAAGGTCTGATTACACCATTAGACTCGCTCGGCACTGGTTATAAACTATCACTTTTGCGTGGAAATGTAATAACACAGCTATTTTAACCCCCAATGATCTGAACATAGGCAAAAGTTGCAGTTTGGAAACCAACAAACACACCTAGGCAGAGTAGAGCTCTGAATTACCCCATAAGACCTTTACACTGCCTAGGTTTGTGCCGAGCAAGCCAAAGCTGGTTTCAAAACTATCACTTTTGCGTGGGAAACGTAATGACACTACTATTTTAATCCCGAAGGCGCTGAACGTATGTAAAAATGACAGTTTTTAAATCTAGACAGAGTAAAGGTCTGATTTAGCCCGCAAAAGTGATAGTTTTAAAACATAGGCAGAGTAAAAGGTCTGAAGGGGTAAATCAGACCTTTACTCTGCCTATGTTTTAAAACTATCACGTTGAATACCGAATGAGCCGAGCGCGCTGATGATGAGTTCGGCACAATCCTAGGCCGATTAAAGGTCTGACTTACTCCATCAAACCATTACTATTCCTAGGTTTGTGCCGAACTCGTCTGCGTCTCACTTTTGCGTGGAAATTTGAATAACAAGGCTATAAAATATCCTTTCAAATTGTGTCCCACGTCCTAAACTTAAAAGGTCCGAGTGTACGAGATAACCGTGTGTAAGATTGAATGATTTTAGATAAAGGCTGATTCGATTTCCGTTTAATGGGGAGTATTCCATATCCCCATTGTAGAGAAAGGGTCATCTGATTTCCGTTAAACGTGACCCACAGATCCCCCGGTGATACGTTAATGAGAATTAATCTTTATTTGAACCACGGCTAGCTCAATGTTGTTACATCCGTTACCTTGCGGAAGTTTGGCCCTTTATCTCCCCTGAAAAACTGAGATTCAAAATCTAATGCGCTGGTTTGACTGAAAGCGATCAAATTCCATGTGCCTTTCCAAGTTAGTTGATTAAAATATCGGTTTGGCTTATAAAAAGAAATTAAAAAATGCAATACCTATCTCGTGAACCCGTGTCAATGCTAAATTTCACCCTTAGGTATATAAAATTCATCTTTACCACGGAATAAATTACTACTGCATTCTCCTGTTCCAAATATACAGACACCTCTGAATACTAAACAAAATTTTAATCCAAACAAAAGAATGGTATCACTGAAATTAAATGCAAAATTCCCAATCAATGAAGCAAAATAACCAAAATCCTTTGTTGGGGTTCGATTCTTATCAACAAGTACAATACGAAATCTGCTTCATGCAAATAATTGTCACGGGCCGATTCCTTTAGGAATATTAAAATTACTTAAATCCTAAAATTAATCGACCACTACTTTATACAAATAAAAAAATTTAAAAAAACGCACTAATTGACGTGCGCAATTTAGATTTGATTATGCACAGAAATAATAAGCCGCTAGAATCAGAAACGTAGATACACTAGAAAGGTGTGCTCTCATTCAATTAAGATCAGTCGACAACGCCCATGCAGAATATGAAGTCTTGGATGAGATGCATAGTTCTCTTAAATGCCAATTTAATAATAGCAAAGACTGTATTTATTTGCAACTTTCGGTTTAGTTAGGCTTTAGATTATCTGCTGTCGATAGAACAACTATGGGAGTCCGACATGTATGCAAAATGATCAAACTGGTAATTCAAAACGCATGGTAATATTGAAGATTGATTGCAATGATCCACTAGCAGAATGGATGAAGAAACAACACGGTGCTAGACCAACAGATCTTCGTTCTTCTGCACCCATAGCAGTATGGCTGGAAGGACAGTGGCAAAACTTCATTCGTATAAGAGAAGATCATCGGACCGTGGAGGAAGATTTAAATGACGGGCTTAGCGTGCAAAGTTTTTCAGTGAAAAGGTTTCGGGCCAAAATTAGACCTTACAGTTGATTGGCAATTAAACTGCTAATGACCAGTTGTTATGAATAATGTTATACATTAATATGTATTCCAAACGTGTAATAAAATAAGCCAATTTGCAACACAGACCTGTCAATATATTCATGCGGTGTCGCTCAGGTTGTATCGTGATAAATCCATCAGTTTCGCGTTTTCTTCGCCATGAAGAGAAAGTCGTCGGACCAAAGCAGGGATTATAAATAATTCAATTTCCGCACTCCGTTTCGGTCCCTTGGCCGCTGCAAGGCGACACTAATTAATTTAAGGTTACAGGTAGACAAAAGTCGACTACAACGCGACCTTTGAACCGCTAAAGTGATCTTGACATTTTTAAGTTTATGGTCAGCTATTGTGTTGGTAATAATTTGGCGTAAAAGGTGACGGCGTCGCTAATTAATCGGCTGAGGTTTTTCGAAAAATGACAGTTCAAGTATCAGCCTTGGATTAGTAGAACAAAATGCGCTTAAAAACTGAATAAAATGTAGAACATTACGTAAATGTAAACAAACACATATTTCAAATTCAAACAATGCTAATTATACCCGTAGAAGGTAATCGACTATTTATAAGCAATGATCTACTGGTGCCTCCGGAAATGTATTTTACCAAAAGGCCTATGGCCTATGCTGTACGTACCATCAAGAGCTGGCGCTCCATTTTGAGTCAATCGTCACCGACCATCACTAACAAACACTAATTACGGACTGGCGTGATTGTTTTCGGATGCCTACGAATCGAGACTTTTTCATCCTATATAACAAATTCTACACCTTCGCACTTAGTCATCGTTTACATCCGCTGCTGGAAAATACAAGAAATCACACGATTGTCTAGATCCGAAATAGGAACTCATTTTTTCCCAAGATTCCGGTTACAAACTTTTTCTATTTGTTTGCGTAAATCGTTTGCATTTCGCATGATTGATATCATCTTGATGTGGGATTAGGGTAACAAAATCGTTTGGAGGATCTTTAAAAAAGGAA